GCATTTTTTTTCTAACAAATTGCTTATTAACTTCCATAGTACTGATGAGTTTTTATTTTCCCTTACCTATGGTTGTAAAGAAACTAAGTACTGTAATCATTTGTGATTTGCATGGATAGGAACAGGATGGAATGGAGAAGGTGAAACTATTTTCATGAGACACTAGCTTGCAAATAAGATGAGCTCACCAGTTTGCAGTACTGAGGCTGCGCCTAATGTAAGTAGAGATAATGTAGCTCTCACCTTACATTTGGATTTAATATCTTAGGCTCTATCTACACTGCAAGGTTTTTGTGCAAAAATGGCCATTTTTGCACAAGAACCTGTGGGCTGTGTCTAGACTGGCAAGTTTTTCCGCAAAATCATTTGATTTTGCGGAAAAACGTGCCAGCTGTCTACACTGGCTGCTTGAATTTCCGGAAAAGCACTGACGATCTCATGATCTCATCTCGTGTGGACGCTGTCTTGTGCAAAAGCACATCATTTTTGCAATATACTTTGAAGTGTGGATGTGCTCTTGCGCAATAAGTTTTTGCGCAAAAGTCGTCTTGCGCAAGAAGCCTGCAGTGTAGACCTAGCCATAGTCTTTTTATTTAATTGGTTCTGGTGATACTGAAAATATGCCAATTCAAGTATGCATATAGTGATGCAGGTTTTAAGCAATGCTTGTTTTTCTGGGTGCCTTGTGACTCCTAGAAAGGTATTATATGTAGAAGATTTGGTGGAAGGATATTGGAACTCTTGGGGACATTACATTTTGAAAGCAATAAGGTACCATGCTGATAATGGAAATTTATTTCTTCTTCGAGTGATGTCACTGTAGGTGCACCACTGTCGGTTTTGGGCTCATCCTGGTGCCACGGATTGGGGACTTGTAAAGCGGTGTTCAGTCGGGCTGCACATGCGTGAGTGGTGCGCGGCATTTCCCCTCTTTGAAGTTAGCAGCCGCAGCCCAATTCTCCTTTGCTGCTCTTGGCTACAGACGGAGTTCCAACCCTCTCCTCAGCGCACTTCTGAAAAACAAGGAAGAGAAAGTTAGATGGATAGTGTTGACTTACCCACTAATTATTTCCATGTTAATACAGTTTAAACTTTAAAAAAACCAAAAACTTCTTTCTTCAGCTTGTTTATAGCTTAGTTAGATTAACAGTTTATTACTACGCAGCAGCAAATCACAGCAAACTACAAACAAACAGAAACCAAACAGACAGCTTAACCCATAACTACAGTTACAAGTGGCATAGTCTGCCAGGCTTTTCTAAAATCAAAAGATGCGACAACTGTCAAGACCAGTGGTCCCCAACGCGGTGCCCGCGGGCGCCACGGCACCTGTCGGGCCATTTTTGTGTGCCCACCAAGAGATTGGGGCCGGCCCCGTCTCTGGGTGCGTGGCACATGGGCAGTGCCAGCCCCTGGGAACATAGGCGGCACCGGCCCCGGCTGCGCAGCACATGGTTGGTGCCGGCTCCAGGCGTGGAGCGGCTAAGTGGCCCCACCCCCAGGTGAGCGGCACGAGGGCTGTGGCGGCCCCAGGCTTGCAGCATAGGGGCAGCGCCGACCCAGGCACGCAGCATAGGGGCGGTTCCGGCCCCGGGCGCGCAGCACATGGGTGGCCCCGCCGTGTGGCGCATGGGCGCTGCCAGCTCATGAATGCATGGCACAGGCGCCGGCTCCAGACACGCAGTGCATGGGCGGGGGCGGTGATGGCCCCACCCCTGGAAGCACGAGACATGGGCTATTCCATCCCTGGGCGTGTGGGCAGCCCCACTCCTGGGTGTGCAGCACAGTTGCGGCACCAGCCCCAGGGGAGCGGTGCATTGGTGGCGCCAGCTCCGGGCATGCAGTGTATGGGTGGCCCTGCCCCCAGGCGCATGTGTGGCCCCGCCCCCGGGTGCCTAGCGTGTGAGCAGCCCCGCCTCGGGGGCCTGACAGTCCCAAAAGGTTGGGGACCACTGGTCAAGACTATTCCAACCTCTGATGGTCTCAGTGAATGCCTATGCTATTTGGGGGATACGCATGTTTCACAAAAAATGCCCATTGTCACAGTCTGACAGCTTGCAGCGTATGCTTGCAAGGAAAGGGAGCTCAGAATATGCATATCATCCATTGACAGAGCCCTGCCAGCCCC